ATAGTATCCTACAAAAAAGCATTTTAAAGATAATTTCAAGAGCTGTAAGATCGTTTGCATATAAAATATAAATAGATAAGTCTACCTATTTGGACAAAATTTAGGAAAAAATCATTTTTGACCCATAATTCTGCCAGTTTTCATCCAAAAATTTCACTTTCCTCCGAAATTCACCGGCAAGTCATGAAATTTGACTACCATTGGATCAGCGCAATGAATTCCTTCGCAAATGATATGTAGGTCTTTTGGGTTTGGATTTTTTATATAGGTACATATATAGAGTGGCTCTCAATTCGAGTGCCAGTCATCTACAGGGTGCTGCATGGTCAAAATTAAACAGAAATTTCAAATAAACTAAGTCAGCTTTAATTTCATGCGAACCAACTTGAATATAACCTATTGATATCGTACACTAGTTGAAGGATCAATACCAAACACCAAAAGTCAAAAAAAAAATTGATTACATGAACCCCACGTTTGAGCTACTTTTTTAAAAAATGTCGACATTTTTGTCTTTTGAAAAGTACCTGAGAATTGTTCCATCACGTCGAGAAATATCCTACCCTAAAAGTGCAAATAACAAGTTTTCCGCCATATTTGAGGTTATGCTACACCAAGAGGTAATTTTTCTCCACTAAACTCGTTACAACAACTGAATGCACTACTATTGTTCTTCAAAATCCATCTTGAATTGTTCGAATATCTTTTTTGGATATGAAATTGATTTTGAAGAAGAAGAATAGTACTTTGTCGTGATGTAACATACCCTCAAATCTAGCGAAAACCGTCTTTTCCTCTTTGGTGTTATGTCGATTAACCCCGGAGTGAGAAATTCCCAAATCTCCTGGGTTAGCAAATGGTCCTATAGGGGTTGATCTACAAGAACCTTTCATATGATGTCATAATGTTTGAGTGGCATTTAGTTTGGGCCAGTTCATTGGCTCCAAACCATTTCTTTATGGAAAAGGTTTCTGTCTCCAAATTGTTACGATACTGTGGGCAGTAAATTACTCTTTAAGATATGCCGATATTTATCTGCATTAATGAACTCACTCTTCCCCTTTGTCGACAAGCATCTTCAGATCGTGACTCCTTGTGGAAGACTTCCATTGTCGTTCGTATCACGCGCTTCCGAAAATTCCCAACACACACAGCAAACTTGGACTCATCAGTGAAAATTACTTGAACCCAATCTTCACTTATCCAACGGTTTTTATTTTGCCTTTACGAAAACAAACCTTACTTAAATGTAAAATGTATAAAAGCGCAGTGTATTTTTCGCTTAACACATTGTGATCATTGTGTTCCATGCTAAAGAGTGTTATAAAAATAAAAAGTGACTAAGTCACAAGTGAATTTTTTAACGATATCACGACCAAATTGATATGTGGAAGGGTATTTGAAAAAAATCGTTGTTCCATTCAAAGGGTTGGTTTAATTTTGATCAGAACTCTGTAGCAGTAGGCAACCGAATTAACATTAATATTAACGTATAACATTATAAAGGGTGTCCCATAAGCACATGATCAAAAAGGTACTGCGACATTCTTTGGCTCAAAAGAAGACGATTTGACCTAACTTTCATTAAGAAAAAATGTCTGGTTCTTCTGCTAATGACTGTCAAACTTCTTGAAAAAAAATATGTTTTTTTGTAATATCTGGAGAATGTTACTATGGATTTTAATGAAACTTGCTGTGGACTTGTTCCTAAGTAAAACTTATGTTCTGATGAAACAACCGCGTCCATCTGCCTAGGGCTAGTGGTAAATTCTTGAGTGTATTGGTACAAGAATTACCAGAACTTTTTTTTGGTCGCTGGAATTAATTCATTTTAGTTTTATTGATGCATCAGTCCTTTTTCCAGATTTTGGTAAAATCTTGTAGCATTCATAGTTTTTACCCAAATTTTCAATCAATTTTATTTAGACAATCATTATCACTACTACTCAAATACAACAACTAGTCACTACAATTACTACTATAGTAGTAAGCGATGATGTAATTTTATAATAAATGAATTGTCAATTAATTCGTTTCGAATGGCGTTTTCTAATGAAGAGATGACGGACTGATCAAAGTCTCAGGGTTTTACGAAGACAACTTGGGTGGCAGTGTATGCGTCTACGCGGCGCGATATCCAAATCGACAGGTTCCAAATTACCGATTTACATGGATTGAAAAGAGTTTGCGGGAGACTGGGCAATTTGGTGTTCGAGCCGTTGACTGTCTTTACATTTTTTGAGTGTTATCAAAAAATAAATCTAATGAAGTAAAATGATATTCAATCCGTCGCATTGCGGCAGACTTTAAAGTTGCGAAAATTTTACTTTTAATATTGATATCGTAGGTAAAAGAATTGGCAATTATTATTAGAGAAAGCTGCTTCTTGTAAAAGGGCAGATTTACTGCGATACATTTAAAATTGTTAAATCGCAACGAAACGGAAAACAATTTTTTGCGTAAAAACTATGAATGCTACAAGATTTCACCAAAATACTTATTACGATAGTAGTGATTGTAGTGAGGATTTGTTGTACTTGAGTAGTAGTGATAATGATTGTCTAAAATTGAAAAAAAAAAAATTTGCGTAATGCTACAAGATTTTACCAAGAGCACGAAAATCTCGAAAAAGGACTGATGCATCAATATAAATAAAATTAATTAATTCCAGCGACCAAATAAAAAGTTCTGGTAATTCTTGTACCAAGACATTCAAGAATTTACCAAGGCAGATGGATGTGGTTGCTTCATCAAAACATGAGTTTTACTTATAGACCAGGCAAGTTAGACAATAAATCAGCAATTTTTTTCTGATGAACCGATCGAGTTGCGGTTTTCGACATTGTCTTCGGAAAAATATCAGGAAAAAATCTATATATTACACTTTGGGGCTGGATCGAAACTGCATTGCGGGTGCATAAAGTGCATCTTGGAGTGCATCAATTTTTCCGAATTTTCTAAAAATGGTAAAAATTGACTAAAAGTTGTAGAAATTTGTGTGCACGGGTTTTCGGGGTCGGAGATTCCGAATCTGACCCTGAAAAATATGCCCGACGGCCCTGGGGCCCCCCAGGGGGGCAAGGGGGGGCCTTCTGTAAAACATCGAATAGCTGAGTAATTGCCTTCTAAATTTCCACTCGGGGGTTTTTGGGGTCGGGGATTTCGATTCTGACACTGAAAAGTATGCCCGACGCCCCTGGGGCCCCCCAGGGGGGCAAGGGGGGCTTCTGTAAAACATCGAATAGCTGAGTAATTGCCTTCTAAATTTCCACTCGGGGGTTTTTGGGGTCGGGGATTTCGATTCTGACACTGAAAAGTATGCCCGACGCCCCTGGGGCCCCCAGGGGGGCAAGGGGGGCCTTCTGTAAAACATCGAATAGCTGAGTAATTGCCTTCTAAATTTCCACTCGGGGGTTTTTGGGGTCGGGGATTTCGATTCTGACACTGAAAAGTATGCCCGACGCCCCTGGGGCCCCCAGGGGGGCAAGGGGGGCTTCTGTAAAACATCGAATAGCTGAGTAATTGCCTTCTAAATTTCCACTCGGGGTTTTTTGGGGCGGGGATTCCGACTCTGACACTAAAAAGTATGCCCGACGTCCGTGGGGTGGGCTTTCTGGAAAACATCGAAAGGCACATCAGATTTTTGCAATAAAACTGCTCCACCTGCTTACCAACCATGATCTTGTAGGCTCATCTTTACATTGTAACACACGTAAATTTACAGAGATTAGACAAGAAGGGTAAGAAAAACTAACAGGAAATTAATGAGTCGAAAAGAATCCCCTTTATTCTGAGAACCAATTTTCTTTTTATTTGCAAGGCAATTAGTGAGACAACTACTATCATATGTTTATCTAACACTTTCACTATCAATCACAATTTTCATCATCAGTACTGTCATCACTGTCTCCATCACTATCATCTATTACATTTTCGACTATTTCAGGATTGGAACAGTTGGTTCCAAAACAATTTGTACATGCAATTGTGCATGTAATTCCATGCTTCCTGCACCCACAAGATCTGCATTGTCGATAATCGGATTTTGTCGCCTAATTGTTATGCATTATCCGCAGTCGCACGGGCCCAAGAGATTCTTTTGAAAATCCATGATCCATGAAATATTCTTCGGTTTTAAGGAATATTTCTTTGATTTAACGAAATGTGTCTCTTGGGAACGGATTGTCCAGGATTTCTCCAATTCTACGACAATTTTTCTCAGTGTTAGACAAGCTAATATTAATGGATATTTTCCAGTGTCAGTTTCGGAATCCCCAACCCCGAAAACCCCGGAGTAGAAATTTAGAAGGCAATTACTCAGCTATTCGGTGTTTTACAGAAGGCCCCCCCTTGCCCCCTGGGGAGGGCCTGGAGCGTCGGATATATGTTTCAGTGTGAGAATCGAAATCCCCGACCCCAAAAACCCCCGGGTGGGGATTTAGAAGGCAATTACTCAGCTATTCGATGTTTTACAGAAGACCCCCCTGCTTGCCCCCTGGGGGGCCCTAGGGCCGTTGGGTATATTTTTCAGGGTCAAAAAACTATTAGTCAATTTTTACCATTTTTAGAAAATTTGGAAAAATTGATGCACTCCAAGATGCACTTTATGCACCCGCAATGCAGTTTCGATTTAGCCCCAAAGTGTAATATATAGACTTTTTCCTGACATTTTTCCGAAGACAATGCCGAAAACCGCAACTCGATCGGTTCATCAGAAAAAAATTGCCGTATTCTGGGTGATTTTGGTCTAACTTGCCTGGACTATTAGGAACAAGTCCGCAGCAAGTTTCATTAAAATCCATCGTAACAATCTCCAGATATTACAAAAAACATTTCTGTTTTCAAGAACTTTGACAGTCAATAGCAGAGGAGCCAAACATTTTTTCTTAATGGAAGTTAGGTCAAATCGTCTTCTTTTGAGCGGCAGTACCTTTTTGATCATGTGGTTATGGGACACCCCGTATTAAAACAATATGACCTCTGAATCTTATGTTTGCTAGATATCATCACTGTTCTATCAGTTCTAAGCAACTGGGAATCTTTGAGAAAACCTATAAGGAATACGGACTACAACAAACTAAAGTGTTTGCAAGGTTTCAGGATATTAACCATGTGGTTGGTGGTGGGCGGTCATAGCATTATAATAGCTGGTACTACCTATGTGGCCAACACCAAGATAATAGATTATGTGAGTATCGATATCGAAAGGTTAGATTCAGGGTCAAGTTAATTTATGTAAAATTTAAATTGATAGGCAGCTTGAACCTCCAACTGAACCATAATACACTGTCAAATTTAAGTAAAACAGTTACCCTAAATCAGTAGTTCCCAAACATTTTGAAGTTGTGACCCCTTCTTAAATTAGATATTTTGTGTTAAATGTTAAAAATTCAGACGCACTTTTCAATGAAAACTAATTTTAACTAAAATAGAACTGCACTATTTACATTGTAATAATTGTTCAATTAACTTAACATGAAAGTTGTGTTTATTGCAGATTAAGTTTGTTCAATTTAGAACGACTTCGAACAAATAGATGCTCAAGCGTGTTTCGATAAATATGCTGTTCATGCAGGGTGTTTCAATTTAAACTTCTCACCTGGAAAATATCGGAATTAAAAAAAAAAGAAAAAGACACGTCTTTTCAAGCGGGACATATTTGACGAATTGTTGAAGAATGTTGTCAATTAACGCACGAAATGCTTTGAAATATTCGTTAGGAAGTGGAGTAAATATTTTATTATTGTATGGAAGCGGAGGGAAACCAATTTGAACATTTAATAAAATAAAATTCTTTCATTCATTGATATTTTGTTTTATTCATTAAGTGATTATTTTATTGTCGTATCCAAACCAAAAATTAAAAAGTCATATTGAAAAAGTTTTAAAATGAAGCGTCACTCAACATAGGGTGCCATTTAAAGTTTAAGGGTATTTTACGCCTCTGCCTAAGGGGTAGCTTCCAAGACAACAAAACGTCTCTGTTTTTTTTGTTTTTTTTTAATTCCAATATTTTCCAAGTGGGAAGTTTTAATCGTAACACCCTGTGTCTACTTGTTAAGCTTTGTACCAACCTTAACAAATTTGCATGAAGTCGCTTCTGCCGTTTTCTTGAAATTAAAAAAGAATTGTCTTTTTTAACTTTAACATTCCAAAACGAAGCATTTGTGAACCCATGTTTATAAACAAACTTTTTTTATTTAATTCGTTGCGCAGAACCCTGTATTAAAATTTGACTAAACATCTTAGTTACATCCTGTAGAAAGCTATGAATGTTTAAATTTTATTTTTAAATATGATTTTAAATTTTCACAGTTTCTATTAAATTTGTTTGGAAGATGTTTGATAAATTTTTCACTTCTTCTGATCCAATCTAATTTTTTGATGTCCGGATGGCTTCGCACCATTCAAATTTACAACGATGTAGAGAAGTCCGATGATAAGAAATTGTCAGTGAACATGATAACAAAAACGTTGACCGCTAGGTACTTGCGGTAAGTAGCTTTCATTTATAATATTTGCAAATTATTTTTGGAATTTTTTAAAAAATATTCTTTATTTCTCTGCATCTCAGTACGCAACTGTTCACAGACAAATAAAACTATTTTGAATATGAAGCCCCAACATTCAGCTGGGGTGAAATAGTTCATTCAATTCTACTGAATTTTTCCTAATTCTTACGTTTCTTTGTTTACTGAAATATATTTTGACATGTAAAAAATCTATATGGACTATATGGACCATCATCTTTTGTTCTTGAGATATAGGCCCTCAAAGAACGATTTTTTAAAATCAAGTTTTAATCGTATGTTTCCCAAAATAAGAAAAAACGAGGTATTGCGTTGGAATTTAGTCCAGGTATATTTTTTAGCGTATTTAATACATCAGTGTTATAAGTTTTTGGAATATAGTGGAGTCAAGATAGCTTAAAATTACGCATTATTTCGAAATAATTATGGGAAGCATGGATTTTCCTAAAACCTTTTGAAATTACTTGGAGATAAGTATTAGAAAAAAGTTATAAACTTATTTTTGTACGCTAATTGTTTTTTAATTGTTTAAACAATAATAAATAGTTTTTTTAAGAACTTTTAAAATAATGCAATGAATTTTTAATCGAATTCTTTCAAATTGACAATATAGGGGTTTTCGATGTCGCTGAACAAGAATATGAAGTCGGAAAATGAAAATTCAAAATGACTGATCCAATATGGCCGACTATTTTAAACAATTTATTTAACAATTATTGATTCTAAATCAAACTCGCTTAGATTTGTAATACAGGGGTTTTTGCCGTCGCTAAACAAGAATATGATGCCAAAATATGAAAATTCAAAATGGCTGATCCAATATGCTCAACTATTTTAAACAATTTATTTAACAATTATTGATTTTAAATCAAACTCACTCATATTTGTAATATAGATATTCGAAAAATGAAAATTATAAATAGCTGAAGAGATTTTATTGAAAATATGTTTTATTTTTTAAAAAACAAATTTATTACAAAATAATTAATTTTTAAATCTCATCGAGTTCTTGCTCTTCTTCAAAAATAACTGGGCAATTAAACTTTAAGCTAATAAAATTGAAAAAAAAAACACAAAAAAANATAACAATTTTCCACTTATTACTATAATAAAAAAATATTTTTCGCTGGATTTATTTTTTAAGGTCTTAACTTAATTCTTTGATGGTTTTTTAAACAAACAAAAAAAAAATTTGGTACATTATTAAACTTTATTTAACAATAAATTTCACGGATTTTTCATGAAATATTTTTATTTTTTTTTTTTTTCAACTAATTTTTCAATTTTTTAAGAAAAATAAAATGCACCATCTTAAAGTAGAGATTTTAAGCTTTAAAAAGTGCTCTCATAAAGT